TAAGTAACAGACCAAATGAACTGCTGAATGAGTTTAAAACATGTGATTCGACAAAGGAAGTGGCACTACAAATTTTCAACATATTCACAGTTTTTTAGGTCTTGAAGCCTTGCTGAACCTAGGCTATTCCAGAAAATATCAACCGCTACTGGCCAGTCAAAAATTTATTAAACTGCCTACTCTGAGAACTATGTAATCTTTCTTCCAAATTCAAACTTACCTCATCCTGTTCACAAAAAATAAAATTAAGAACTATGAAAAAGATCCCTGCCACGCACAAATTCTTTCTGCACCTTGATAAAAAATAAATGACGGAAAACTAATCCTTCCAAAAAATGTTTCTTTTTTTGTAATTCGGTAGCTGGATCCATTATAAACCGATTTTAAATTAAAACTTAATTTGAAAGATAACGCGTTGATTTACATAGAAAAACTATTCTATTTTCAGGACACTCTGTAGTACTCTTCTGCACTTCTGGTCTTTTGCGGATTGGAGTGGGCGAGGCAGAATTTTTTTGCTTAGTGCGGACTTATTTCTTTGATACCTCCGTAACGGCTTGATGTACTTTTGGAACCGCAGTGTCTTTTTCTTGAAAGGAGCTTATCAAAAGGTGCTTACAGCATCCTAGCTGGATGCAACGCTTCAGCAACTGATTGTCTAGTTCGTGGTGCAAAAAAGTGCTGGAAATTTGAAGCCAAAATAAGTGACTTGTACGTATACTAATTCTGTAGGCTGTTGACTCATTATAGAATCATACAAGACTTTAAACAGTAATACACCTTCAAAGACTTAATTTTAAACTTCATGGCACTTCTTTCAATCATCCTTGTGTACAAATGAGAAATTAATAAGTAAATGCAATTTACCTGAAGAGGGCACCTAAGAATTTGTTTACCAGCTGTGTTGCTAATTTCAAGCAAAAATGCGCAAAGTATTTTCTTCTGTCAGCAAAAGAATCTCGAATAACGGGAACAACTGAACGTAGATGAGATCGAATAGAAGACACATAAGGTGACTCATCTCCTACACTTTCTATGGCATTCCAACTAAAAAGGAAGTTATACTGTGGAGCTGGAACTCTCCCTTAAATAGGTAATTTTAACCTCTAATCTAAAAAGCAAGATTTCTTTAATGGGTACTTGATTTTCATCATAGACTGCAAAGCTGGTTCGTATCCACCCTCAGCGTCTTGCACCAAAACCGACAATGCATTATTAGAAATACTATAAAACAATTCCATTTCCTGGTTCAAATCAATAGTCTGTAACGAAACTCAATTAGTCTCATACGGAAGCCCAGGAAATGTTCGCACAGTTACATACTTGTACACGCTGCTTTAGCTTTTCTTGAAGCTGCAATGTAGTTTCTGCACACCAGTCAGCAGTAGCTAAGATACAGCACGTAAAGAATTGTTGATCAGCAGTTAAACGTACTACAGTTTCATCGCTGCAATTTCAGAATGATATAAAACTTCTAAAAGATCATCTGCTTTCCATATTTAATAGTAATGGTTTTCTTTAGATTTTTACCGTAGCAGAGTTTGAAGTAAGGAAGTAGAAGACGGGGCGGAAGATAAAGATGGAAGGAAAGCTGTTAGGCAACCATGAGCATAGCCTCGCAAGCATCCTTTCAAAACATCTACCAAGTCCCTAAAATAAAGCTGTCAAGTACATTGAAATTACCTTTTTATTTTTTTTTCTAAAGTCTAATAAAACAAGAACTCACTTACCGCAACAGTGAGTTTGAATTAGATGACAATTTTGTAGATTCTGCAATAACTTTCTTCAGCAACAAAAACATATCGGCTGAGGAAGGTAACGGATAAGCATGAGGTGCTGTTTCACGCGCGACACGTTCTGCTCCGCTACGTATCCTCGTTACACAACCTTCCAAGAAACTGTCCAAATTCTTCTTCTGCGCAATGACAAAAACATCCATATATTTGTCAAAAACCTTCCAAATAATCTAAATTTGATTTTTTCTTTCGAAAAAATATAGTTTTTTTTAGCTATTTTTGACATCTAAATAGTCATGACTTAAAATGTTACGCTTAAGCAGCTCAGAAACAAATCGACTGGTTAGTCTGTAACTCGCTGTCACAGCCAGCAGTATTTTATATACATTAATTATAAATTCCTTGAATTTAAAAATCTAACCCTATCAAAAACAAAGTTATCCTTTGCTGGAAAACGCTTTGTAAGCATTCCTTCAAACATAACAGTATGGTTGATTGCATATGCTAATGATTTAAAATCCAGTTCAGAGCGCCTATGTGACATCATCTTCTCCAGCATCCCTCTAAAACAGCCTTTTGCAAAAACACTTTTGATTACAAAAATCGATCTGCTGTCTGTTCAAAAATGGATTACTGCAAAAGTGAAACCAAAAAGACTACTCCTCGTCAATTTAATTGCAGGAAGACTTCAAAAAAAAAGATCGAAATTTGCATGAGACGGACCAGTAACACTCCAGTAAAATACCTTGTCATATTGCAGAATTCAAAAGCTAATCTTCTCCCCATCTCCCAATCAGGAGGGAACATCTTTGACATACCCAACTTTTCAAACTCAGTCAATTTCTGCACGAACCACTTGTACCTAAAGAAAACTAGATTTACAGTTGTATTTCAGTAACTTGACGATTTATATTTCAAAATTACACAAAAACAACACATTAAATAAACCTCAGGTCGATTTTGTCAATCCAAGCAATGCTTTCGCTCTCCCCATAAAGAACTGCATATTCTGCCAACTGATGATCGCAGAACCATCGACAGAAATCTGCCTGTACGCCTGGGTCAAGAGAAGAAGCCACACTACACATATCCATTACTGAAGAGTTCATACTTCCAGACTGTAATATAAAATTTAATTTCTTAAGATTTTATAAGCATTTCGCGCATTGAGCGCCGCATAACTGCCATGCCAACGATGTGTTTGCATGACTCTGACCTTTAGTCAATACAAACCTGGAAAGCCATTTTAAGGTCTTGAACAAGTTGTATCGCAAGCTTCTGCTTCAGACGTTCTAGCTGTTCAGCAACATTTTTAACTTGCTCTACCTCCATGTAAGAATTGAATAATTGAAGGACATTTAAAACTGCCGGAAGCTGTGACGCAATATCCCCATACCTTCTCTGCTCAATCCAATTACCTTTAAATCAAAAATCAGTAAGCCAATTTAATATTAGAAATTAATATCCTAAAAAAAATATAAACTGCAAAATTTTGAACAGCTTTTGTGCCAGCAACAAGATATATAAAGATTGAAGGCAACAGAATTGAAGGGAATTAAAACCAGGGGAGCCGCGAACCACTTACGTTCAAAATGATGAAAAAAGTAAAAAACTCAAATAGACGTTTGCCTTTCGAAAATTCCAAAGTTATGACAAAAACTCTATATCAGTAAGAGACACATCAATCAGTACCTAAAGAGTGAACTCCTGTTAGAAGAATATGCAGATGATGCAAGGTTTTGATAGATGAAGTTAAATTTCTTTTTGCCACATCTAATTGTTTTATATCTCTGGTCATCTCCTGAACAACAGTTTCAGAAGACTGAGTTTTCATCCGTATAGCATTAACTCTTGCTTCAAGTTCAGCCATTGCAGCATGAGCCTAAAATGATTATTACACCCGATTTAACTTTGCAAATTTTTTCACAACTGAGAGGGTCATCATATCAATTACAACACCCCATGTAACTTGAATGTAAGTGAAGGTTCTCTCATAAATTAAGAGACATACTTCAGCTAAAGCTTTATCACCGCCTTCACCAGCATTACCATGAGCCTGCACCAATTCAGCAAGCTCCTCATCTAGTGCAGAGCACTCCCGATCGATCTGCATCATCACAGCATCGAGATGTGATAATGACTGCTCAGTAGGAAAAAGAGCATTTATTTGTTCGATCACGTCCATATTACCACGGCAAAGCTCCGTTCGGCTCATTCCATCAATTACTCTCCTAACCTGTCAATGATATATTTATTTATTTCTGTTCAACAGCACAGCGGGAATGTGGGCTTTCACACCATGCAAGTCTAAAACGTAGTTATTAGGAAGAAAAAGTAGACAGATCAGGAGCAAAAACCAAAGTGAGAGCAATGTGAGATTTTCTTGTTTCACGCTACACACAAATGCTCCTACTGTTCAACCGATTTCGGGAAGCCGTCAAAGAACCACTGAATCATTTACATTATTTAGATACATTCCGAAGCCTGAAGTCTGCCGATCGTCACAATATGGCAAAAATCACAAGCCTCGTCAGGATTACAAAACAGTGAGAACCACCTGCAGTCTTCAAAAAAAAAAACTCCGTATTGGAAATGAAGCTACTAACACCACACCATTACCTTTTCTGAAATCTCATCCGGAATTATGTCGCTCTGGTTGTCCTCCATTGTTTGCAAAATGACCTAACTACCTCTGCTACCTCATCGAATATCCCCAGAATACATTAAAAATGGAATTTCAACGTTCGGCTCCAGCAAAGCGTCACAGCCCCTGCAATTTTCACCTACAGTTGACATCCCCATGCAGATCAAGAAATTTCCTAAGTTGCACCCACAAAAGCAATGATGAAGAATGGAAGCAATAAAACTCCATCCCTCGCAGATCTTGAAATGAAAAAAATAAAATTGGCAGAAAACCATGTTAACTGCAACTTTAATACTTGATAATGTGAGACAGATTCGCTCTGCAGGTGAACAACACAACCCTCTGTTCGCGCCCAAACGCAGCATTAACAAACGAACATACGCTTTATTATGAAATCTGAGCAACATTACAAATCACAAACCTTTTCAAAAATGATAAAATAAAAAACAAGTGAAAGCAGTATCTGGTCTATAACGCAGAGATCATTTAAAGTAACGATGAGCAACTACTGAAACTACAAAATAAAATTTTAGCTTTAACTTGATACATCACTAAAAAATGAAAAAAATTCAAGAATTGTTTCAGACCGTCTACATTCTCATTTCAGGCTGTCTAATCCGAAAAAAAAACACCATGTTGGAAAATGAAAAAGATTGCTAAATTGAATACAATAATTTCCAGCTGTGCTATAATCAAGAAAAGTGCCGAAACAAGTACGTATTTCACCAAACTGCCCGCCAAAAAGAAGTGCTATAGGAAATCTGAGCGAAGCTTACTGGCTCAGAAGAATTAAATTAAGAAGTAGATCTCGGAAACCAACAATGAAACTGCTTGGATTATCCATCGATAATACAAATTCGAAAACTAACAACAAGGCAGACGCTTCACTTCAGCACAAGGTCACCATAATACGCAGTAATTGATTTGATTTTTTTATTCAGTAGACTATGTTCAATTTCACAAGATCCACCTTTACCAGCGAGGGAAATCAACTGAAAAAAAAAGCAACCCATAGAACTTTCAAAAGATAATGTACGTCCTACTTCATTGAGATAAAATAAATTCCTAACTAAAAACTTATTTGCTACATTAAAAAAAACCTGTTTGATACTAGTATGTCTGGGAAGAAAATATGCAATATTAGGAGATAGCATTTTAGCAGCGGAAAATATTTCGAAGCCATTAGGGGTTAGATCTGAATTAAGGTCAAAAACCTGCAACAACAATAATGAAAGTCCAACAGACATCTAAAAATAACAATTACTAAATAAGATGTTAAGTGTAGGCAAGTTCATAAAATACCAAAACCTAGTTATCAAAACTCACTTCAGTGTCCAGATAGGACGGGCCACCCCAAGGAGGGCTTAAGAATACAGCATCAAACGGTGTATTGCTGCTCTCAGCATCACTTTCACCCACATATTTTTCTACGAAATGAAAAAAGTCAACACAGATAAAATTTATGCGATCAGCAACACCGTACACCTTAGCATTCTGGATGGCACAGCGTATACGTATCGGATTCAAGTCGATCGCGATTACTTAAACAGATTTAAACCAATGAAACTTTGTGTAACAGAACTTGAAAACACATCTAATAAAACTTTATAATTAGATAAATCAAACATTCGATGCCAATTTACTATTCCTAACCATAAGCGCCATTTAATGCCATTTGTATACTGTTACCCCCAACACCTGCAAAAGCATCAACGATAAGTGCATCTTTTTTCAACACCACCCGGTTCGCAATGTTCATAGCAATCCGTTCAGGAGTTACGGAAAACCAGCCCTCTGCAAAATATCAGATGTAATAAATACTCCTAATATCAAATAGTCAAAGCTATAAGTAGTAAAAAAGCAAACTTTGTTTAAAAAAGTGTGAAAAACATGAAGAACCGTAGTGTCAAGAATCAACTTCTAGAAGGATAAAGAAAAGATAAAGGCCTTAAGAACCAAAAAGCTTTTTTATAAACAGAAGACTACCTCTATCCATCAAAATTCCATAGTTGAGTTTTGAAAACAACCTGTATCGCTGAAACCAATATTTGCGCATCTCCTACAAAGTTAATTATGAAATCGACAGCAGATAAGTGGAAGAGAAAGAAAAAACTAACTTTATCGTTGCTGTAGATTTTGAATGCATTTTTAGCTATTAAGAATGAATCTCGCTCCTCGTCAAACCCAAAATCGAAGTTTTTAAGTTCTTCAAAGCTCATTGCAGGTAATTCACTATGCTCCTGAAAAGAAATGCTAAGAAAGCCGACCAAAAATTCGAAAAAATTAGATACAATAATGATACCTAATTTTTAACAAAAACCCCAACACCTATAAAACAAAAAGCCGGTGAAACAAAAACTGGACTTGACATCAGCAAGACAGTTTTGGGAATCAATAAGATACTTGACCTGTTAGCTCAAAAGAACGGTACCAAAAAACACGGAATTAGTATGAAACCGTATGATTAACTCGTATTTCCTTTAAAGCCATCCCCATCAAATTACAATGAGAAAACAAACAACCTCTGCCGTTGTTTCATAGTCATCATCCGGATCCAGACGCATTTTCTTACCAACTGCTTGTCTCCCATAACGAGTAAGGCACAGAGGCGTCCCGTAAAAGTCGGCGTAAACGTCGTCAAAAAGTTCCAAACCATCATAGCTAAAGTTATTGTTTGCGAAAAAGTTGAAAAATAAGAAATACAGAATGTTACTTCGAATTATCAAAATCTGTGAGGAAGCATGAGAAGCAGAGTAAAGTAGACAGTACTTGACCAACTCTCTTTCACCACGCTTTCCGCTAAAAGTTTCACTTTCCTCATCATCACAAGGTTCTTTATCGGCTTGTTTTTGCCCTTCCACAAATTCCTCCTCTGAAGTGGAAGGTGCACTTGACGTATCACATTCTGAGTGATTAATGACATCAAACCCCGGTATAAAACCACACATTTTGGCCTGCAATTGCAGCAAAAAAAAGTAGTTGTGCAAAATTTTAGTCACTGAAACTGCTAGTTCTGCTGTCCAAATATATAAAATTCAACCAACAGACTTGCCAAATCATCAGAAAACTACAGAACTAACTGAATGTTCGACGCTTACATTCTCAATAAAGGCTTTACATCTGTTTAGTGCTGATCCTTTCTTAATCTTTTCAAAATCCTTCCTACCACGCTCTTTTACAAGCTGAGAATGTTTCATAAATAACTCTTCCCAAGATTTGGGTTGGTAGTGCGGATCCGTTTTATATACAATGTTTTCGTAGCCCTAAAAAGAGGATTTCTGATTTCCTATATTTTAAACGAAAAAAAATACGGAATTACAGCACAAGTTTTCAGTTTTACGTGAACGACAACAGCAAAGGTACCACTAAAGAGCGGTGACACTTTAGAAGATTGGAAGGTTTAAGTTCTATAGTTTCCTTCTCGAAGTTCTTTTTTGACGCCTCATCGATACTTGCACCTGAAAAACTTCAAAAATTACAACCATAAAATACCTAACTCAATGATACGCATGGACCAACACCTGTTACTTCCGCCAACAAATCATAACATACCAAGAAAGATTACAGATGAAACCAGTAAAAAACACGAGAAAAATATCTGAAAATTGAGGCTCAAAAATAAAAAAAAGCTCATAACATCCACTTAATTTGACGTTTAGCAGGAAACTTTAAAAACTGTTTTGTGTAACAAATCAAGTTGGCGGATGGAGTTTCAGTCATACAAAATTATTATGTTCATTGATCGTACAGCAAGTAAAAGGTGGAAAAAGGGAAATGTTTTACAGTTAAAAAAATATCTCTGAATACTTGTTGTCGACAGCAAGAATTACTGCCATATTAAAAAAAGGCATCTAACAGCAGAGTCCATTTCCTAAAACGCCTTCTGCCGACTTTGTAAGTAATAAATACTTTTTTAAAAAAACAAATGAAATGCTACGAAAATCAAGATAGCTTAAAAAACTGGTGTATGAGGAATCTGTAACTATGGTTTAGCACAGACAACGAGAAAAAAGATATCTCTATGCAGCTACTGGTCTTTTCTTCAGGCAGTGGCCAACTATTCACTTCCTTTCAAAAGCATCCAAAAAAACTGTAGCCCTGAATTTATATGGTGGATACTAACCAGAAGCTGCTTGATCAACGAAATACAAAGTAGTAAGATAACCAACACCATATCAGAACTCTTACGTGTTGGACAGCCCAAATTGTCTAATAAATGAACACCACACAAACGCTGGAAGAACGATGTCAGTGAAACCAAAGTTAAGAAATGTACAACAATTTGCCTGAAAGAGCACACTAATTTACCATAGCTTGCCAGCCAACTCGCATTAATTACATACTGACCAGCATTCTTCCAATAGCTATCAAAACCTAAGTCAAGCAACCAAAGGTACGAATCGTCATTCTGCAGTCTCCTTTTTCTTTGCCTTTTTTCTTTCACATTTCCGCTGCACGAAAGATTAGTGGAATGGCATTTCTCGTCGTTTTCCCGGTAAACTAAACTTACAAAGTACGAATTATAACAGTAAAGTACTTAAGATCTTTTATATAACTATAAAGCACTTTGAAACTCACCATCAACTCTGTTACTACAAAACGTTTTCCGAGCATTACTTTGATGAATATCTAAGCTTGCATCAAAATCTGTTTCCTCACTCCTGGATTCTGCTATGCGTACCCTTTCCAAATCAGCGACTAAATCAGTTTCGACATGATTTATAGCATCTTTCTCCAAAAGTAAATTATCTTCTGACAATGAGGAATCCAAAGTTCCACGTTTTGACGCTTTCATTTCTTTTTCAGCAGCAGAAATTAAGTCACCGTCCCTGCAAAAACAATTAAAATTAAAAACAAAAACAGTAAATAATAAAAAATTTCTAGTACAATTTCTCGTTGGAAAACATATGGTAGGTAAAAAAACTTCTACGTGCCTCATCAAATTACAAGAATTAAAAAGCAAAAACTTATTTTGAAAATATTACATCTAACAATGAAATAAAAAATAATCGTTTTCCCCTTAAGACGGTCATGAACAAAATAATAAAAACAACACTAAAAAGTTTTTCTTGCATAATGAGAAGCCTATGAAAAAGTATGATTAACTGGTGATGTAAAATAAAATCATCAGACTGTAACAGTGCATTAAAAAAAAAAAAAAAGTAAAGACGGCAGTCGAAGAAAAGCAAATAAGAATTAACCTGATTGATGCTCTAGACAGAATGCAATAAATAGAATCTCCTTCAGCAAAAAAAAACTCTGCCTCAGCAATCATTCTGTAGCTACACTTTTTCAATAAACCAGTTTCATTCGGCTCCATATTTGTAATAAACCTGAAAACACTGAAAAAATTTTAAACTTTAAACAACAGCAACAACGTTTTTCTGTGCCAGAAATTTACTGCCAATATAGTCTTACATATTGCGCATAAAACTTATGAAACTTTTACATTTGTAGAATATATAGAAAACTTAGACCTTGCTAAATTTCAAATAAAAGAATTTTTTCTTTTTGTACAAATTACCAAAACCAAAAAAAAAAAAACTCTTATCCTGCTAAGACTTATTTGAGTAAAAAAATTCTTTAAATTCCAAAAGAACAAGTTCATATGTAACCGAATTACGTCGAAACACAGTTTTAAAAGCTAAAAAGTTATTTTCATTGATCTAAGCCTCATAGTTATACGGATATATGGCATCAATACACAATGGGGGAAGAAAAAATATGGACAATAAACAAAACAACATATTTCAATCATCCTTCATCAACCATTAAAAACACCTTCATTTCTTAACGAAAAAAAAAAGTGGAAATTAGAGGTAGAACATAAACTTCGGTATACACACAAATATTCTTCTAAAAATCTGAAAAGAAAAAATATGAAAAAGAAGCAAAAGCGGTCGTAGTTGCCGCAATAGCAACAGGCATCGTCATCTTCGTCGTCATCGTCATCAGTATCATCACCAAATAAGAACAATCCGTTAAAGCAACAACGTAGCAG